TTCTCCAGACGAAGAAATGATGTACAGAACAGATGTGCAATATGCCTACTTGAAATTTAAGATTTAAAAAAATTATTTATAAGGAGAAGGGCATGAAAATTTAATTTAATGTTCACCTTAGGTAATTTTGTGTCTTATTGTTCATAGCAATTACCATAAATCTGCATATCAATAAGCGAGAACAGATGTCAGTTGTTACAAGTGCTTGCCAATCAGGTCTGTTAAAAAGTGACAGATGGGTGGTTATGGAATGTTCTCATAAGGCCTATTAGCACATTCGCGGGAAGTGTCTGCAGCAAGAGGGTGTGGGAGACTCTGCTCCAGGAAGGCCTTCTCGAATCCAGAGCCCAGCCCTCACAACCCAGGCGCTGCGGAGCGTGGACACCAGCTTCTGGAAACATCTCCTGTCCTGTCCCCTCGTCACAGACATTCCAGGACAGCCTTCTGTAGAGGAAGGATCCCACACCCATGTAGGGAGAGGACGTTTGTTGTTTTAAGCAAAGAAGGGTGCCCTGTGCACTCTCACTGTGACGTTTAAAACTTAGGCCGGATGTTCTGGAAGAGAATCACTACCACCTCCTTGGACTACACCAAGTGCAGCCCTTTCGTCTTGTCCATCAACATACACATTCTTTTTAGTTGTAGTTCCGTGAATCAACAGATGAACTCATCTTTGTCAGAACTCTGTAAATCCTTAATTTCTTTAATAACACCTCCGCATGCTGGGAAAAAACAAAACAAAACAAAGCTGCCCAACACCAAACAGCCCACTCTGAACACACGTGCGCTGCCTTCCAGAAGGAAGGGAGGCAGCTTTCCGGGGACTGTTGCTTCTTTCTGTAGCGTTCTGGAGAGCTCTCTGCATTACTGATCTGTGGCTTGGATTCATGATTCGGCCCGTGAAACCGTGTGCAGGGGAAGGTCACTGCAGTCTGTGTGTCTGTGGACAGACCTCTGCACCTGCTGAGAACAGGCGCACCATGTCTGGGGTGGTCTGGAGCTCGGGGCTCGGATGTGCTGGAAATTTGGACCTGCTGTGTCCCAGAGCAGTGACATGGGCAAGTGTGTTCATGACCCTCTAATCCTCAGCTGCCCCCGCGCCCTTGAAGCAGGACGCCTGTGCTTCCTTGAACTCTGGACGTCAGTCCGTCCAGCGGGTCTCACCAAGTTATTATCTAACGTTTCCTGCTTCAGTTTTTCAAGTGCAACAGAGTAATGAAGTGCAGGTTTTGTCCTTGGCATGAAGTGAGGATAAACTGTGATAACTGCAAGAAGCGCTGTTAAAAACGAAACTGTGAAATAGGACCCTTGCTTATCGAATGCGATGCTCTTTTGAGAGGACAGTGGTTATAAAAAAAAATTATTGACCGAAAAGTCACTTTTCCCTAATTCCTTCTTCTTCAGGGAGAAAAAAAAAATCCAGACTCTTAGCCCAAGTTTCTGAGATTTCAGAAATTCCTGGGACAAATATCACAGTTGGGTAAGAAATGGACAAGTTTTTCTTAGAGGTTTTAAGCGGCAAAATAAAATCAGTCAACTTTAAGGACACACAGGCAATACAGGTGAAAGCATCTGGCTTCTACAGATTTGAGCCTGATCTGGTTTCTGCTCTTAAATTCCATATTCAGTAAAGGTTCCCCTCCATAAAATTATGAAACACATGTGAAGTTCTTCTCAGTTTGAAAGGGAAACGGTCAGTCACTTTGGGGAAACTAGCCGATGCCTCATTCCGTTTTATTGAGACCAATACCTCATGCCTTGTCGAAAATGTTTTTCCTTTTGTGGCTTTATTTTCTGCTCAAACAGAAAGTGTTTTGCTCATTCAAATGAGACATTTTTAGACTTTAGTGATAAACTTCAATCTCCCGAAGGACGGACTATTACATTTTGAGAGTTGTTCACAAAATATTATTGCTGCTTTCTGGAATGATGTTTCTCTCTCTCTGGTGGTAGTGTTCCGAGCTGGATTGCTCGAACTTTACAAGTAGAGTATATTTTATGCCGTAAGACATAAAAACTGCGTCTGAATCATGTAGGTTGCCATTCGAACTGGGCCCCGATCTCAAGCCCTCAATAAGCATTTGAACCTCGGGTGGGATTTGGGATAAACGACCTCTTGGATTTCTTCCTATCGCTTTCACTGGATGCTGCAGGCCATGTGCTTGGCCACATGTTTGATCGTGAACCCACAGTTGCCAAAGTCTCGGCAACCCAACCGTGAAGATGCTGTCATTAGCTTACGTAATGTTTTCTTGGCTCAGAAGGTAAGGCCAAGGTCAAATTTCTCCATTGAAAAAATAGGGCGTTTAACTTAAGCTCCCCTGGGAACGTATCCAAAATATCAATTTGTGTTTGTCAATTTATACATGTATTCAGCCGTCCGCTCGGAAATAGGCAGTAGGAGCACCTCTCAGCGGAGCCAGGCCGAGTGCCTCTTGGGGCCTGATGGCTTGGGAGCGTTTGGGGAGGTTGAGGAGGAAAGGAAGGAAGGAAGGGCTTTAGGACACCCCTCCCATATTACGTGGGGTATCAGGGAAGCCTCTTTTATTTTTTAAAGATTCACTTACTTATTTTGAGAGAGAGAGAGGGGAAGAGTGCGAGAGCCAGCAGGGGGCAGGGGCAGAGGACAAAAGGGAATCTCAAGCAGATCCTGTGCTGAGTGCAGAGCCCAACGAGGGGCTTGATCTCACGACCCTGAGGTCATGACCTGGGATGAAATCAAGAGTCAGACGCTCAATCGACTAAGCCATCTGGGCGTCCCAGGGAAACCTCCTTCAGAGAGGTACTTCTGTTACCATTTCACTTTGTAATGCTGGTCCAGACGACTGGCAAAGACAAAAGCGAAGTCCTACTTTAGGAGATGACAAAAGAGCAGGAAGCCTTATAACTTGATTTTATTGGCAGAAAATATATAGAATATATAGTCCAAACCACGGTGCTTCAAATACTCAGGAAGAAGAAGCTGGATTTTCCCTAGGAATGAAGAAACCACCTTTCTGGAAATCACTGAGCAGATGGAGCCTGACATCGACATCCTTGATACTCGGAGTGTTCAAGGTGATGGTACATAATGGACCACACAGCATGTGAGTTCACAGCCTGTGCAGACTTAGTGTGCTGAATTTTATATGTTGAAGGTTCAAGAAAGGGGTATTCTGGAAGGCCCAGAGCACTTAGAGACTGCCTTTAAATCAGCCATCTGCTCCATGGACCTTCTAAGGTGACTCCTGGATAGCTTTAGTTTTTAAATGAGCACACAGAGCATGTAAATGCCACCATCCTGACCTATGGCTGGCGAGACAGAGGAGCCCAGATCCACTGAAAAACAACAGGGCGCTCTGTCCACCTGGGAAGACACACTGGGCTGTCACCTCAGGATCCAGTGACCTTCTCTGCATAATTTAACTGTGGGAATGGGAGAGCTGGGGGCTTCCTCCAAGGAAAGATCCTAATTTTGGATCTGGGTGGGTCCATACCATTAGAGGGGAAAATAAATGTTGTATTGGTTGAAAATATGACAAATCTTCGTATTTCCTGTAGAGCCATAATCTGGAGATTTTCTCTTGAAAACACAGAGCACTCCCTGAGTATTTTTCACTTTTGTCTCTCCAGTTCCCTTTGCAGAACTAAACATTAACCATTTGCTGTGGTCCTTAGATCCAAGGCAAGCCTCCAAAACCGTATTCATAAATATATTGCTGAAGGACTGAACTACTTACCATTTTAACATATTTTTTCCCCCTAGTAAACCGACAGCAGTATTACAATAAAACACGTTGGCACTGTCATGAGATTTAAAGCCCAATGAATAATTCTGCATTTTTTTTTTTAACTGTAGGCCAACATATCCTGTCAGACAACAGGTTCCCCTTAGTCTGTGGGGCCACGGGTGAGGGCTGGGCTGGCGACCACGGAACACACGTGAGGAGGAAGTCCTTCCAGTTACATTCAAAGTGAAACAAACAAACAAAACCAAGGATAGTTATTTAGGAAAAAAAAAAAAAGAAATGAGAAAAAGGTGTTTTCACAGTGACAGGGAAAAAAACATCTGGCTTCTATTCCGTACCTTCAAGGTTTTATTTCATTGAGTCAGGGTGTCCTTTGTTAAAAACAAATGGCACTTGATTCTAACATCCAAAAATCTGTTCTTCTCCTGCCCTCGCTTCCCCCATCCTTCTGGAATCAAACAAGGGAAGTGCTCCCTCGCTGGCCCTCAGGGCAGGTGGACGGCACCTGTGTTCTGACAGACGGTGTGGGCCACCTTCTCGAGCCCCGCGGAAGTTAGGGTCGGAGCCCGGAAGGTGACGCCTTAGGAGTGACTTTTCACTAATCATCGCACCTGGGTTACTACTGACGCAGCTCATTCTACAAAGAAATCCCTCATGAGCCAGCTTTCAAATCCAGCCCCACTTTGATTTTCTCAAGAACAAAGATTATACTTGTGCATAAAAGCTTCTCATGCACAGTTCTGCCAACCGAGGGTACCAAAGTTAAAAAAAAAAAAAAAAGAAAAGAAATGCACCCTGTTAATTGTCTACGGCTATCAGGGGACCGCAAACTGTATCAAAGATAGGCCTGCAATCTTGGCTTTCATTATGGAGGTCAGAATATTTATTGACTGCTTCTTATTAAAATTTCAGCAGCACGTCAATCATTCTGGCTGCCCTGGATAGAAGGAATCTTGTTGGAAATTCCCCAGCAATCAATCCCATCAAAAAACAAAAATAGCAAACAACTCCGGAGGTTATGACAGGCTTTGCAGCCCCTTGCCCCCTACCCCACCCCCCGCCCCCGCACTGGCTGGAGAGGTCCGAGGTGGAGGGCAGCTCCTCAGCCCTGGACTCTGATGGTAACACCGGAGTCCGAAGGCCGACAGGGCTGCTTACGGCTCTCCTGCTCTCTGTTCTCTCTTTCTTCCCTGCTTGTCTTCTTAGCCCTCGGAAGCCACCCAAGTCCAGCCAAAAGCACGGTCCAAAGCAAAGGCACGCGTCACGACTTACCAGCCATCTGCTGAATGCCACTGAACGCACCCAGGTTGCTGGAGGAGGTGGCTTGCTGTAGAAGCTGCAAAGGGAGGGAGAAGCAGACCGTCAGACCAAAGCGCACACGGGAGGAGGAAGCTTCTGGAAAGGGTAGGGGGGAGCTGTCCAGCTTCCTGTGCGTTTATACAGTCACTTGCTGCTTCCTATTCATGGGCTGTAAATCCATATTAATGTCTAATCTCTATTAAGAAACACAGACACTGGGGAAATTCAGTACCACTGCTGCCTTAAAACAATCCATTTGGTTTTTTTAACGACAGGTGTTACGTCCATTGAAACTAATGCGGCGTGACTAAGGGGGGCTCCCTGTAGCCTAGTGGTCACCATGGCTCAGCTCCGTCAACCGAGGCCCATCCCTCGGTCTAACAGCTCAGCGGCCTTCATCCTCCACAGGGAGCACCTGGCTTCATGGACTCTTGGGCCAAGAGAGACATCACCACGATAACTACTCTCTCTCTCTCTCTCACACACACACACACACGCACCTGTGCATGGCTGCCCAGGGACACCTGGGAGCACCTGAAGCTGGTCTTCACTGGCGGGGGGGGGGGGGACACATATGACTGGTCAGAATTTAGAAGTGTCTGGTGTGAGGTACAATGACACTGGGCGTGACAGGTATGTCGGCTGCTTTTCAAAACCAAGTTAAGATCCCTGCGTCTGCATCTTTCCCTGGTGCCCTCGAAAACACATCTCACCCCCCGAATCAGCGGGTACCCCAAGATAAAGGCATGTGGCTACTGTCCTCAAGTGCTCCTTTACTGGTCCAATTCAGCTGAATTATAGGCTAACTTGGGGGCCGTACTGTTGACCTAGATTTTTTGATACCTGCTTTTGGGGAAGGTAGATCAAAACAGACATTGTGTACAGAGCAGCAAGCATCTAGTTATCCTTGCTCTGAAGTCCTCAGACACCGGGAGGCCCAGCTTCACCAGACTTGTTATTGAGAAATGTTATGATACTATGTGCTTAGGAGGACACAACCGATTTGTGATTTTACAAATAGCTTTGAGAATTTGTTTGGAGCATGGCAGAGCCACACAGAGAGTCACTCCTCTGGGTCAGGGCGGCTGTTTTTGACTTCAGTCGCAAGCGAAGTCTACAGCTGGGCAGGACTCAGAAATGGGCTCCATCTGGGGACTGAGAAGCACCAAGTGGAACGGAATCCAGTGGCCAATCTGGCCCGAGTCTCGGTTACCATGATGGTAAGGGGGTCAGCAGGGACAGGTGCCAGAGGAACATCTGTGATGTTTACTCATCCCTCCTGACTTGTTGAAATGCACTGGATTACACACAGACTGGGACACACACACAGGGAACAGCGAGGAAGGAGGAGAAGTCAGGGATTAACCCTTTGCATGGACAGAAATCCCTTATTTTTATTTGATTTCATGGGTTTCCCATTCTCTGGTAGTTGTAAGCCCTTACTCCCTTTCCTACCAGGTATGTTTAAAAATTAAAGCGAGGTAAAATAAAATTAGCTTTGAAGCTGTTTTGAGGAATTAATAATACCTACTGAGGTATGTGGAAATATGTGGCCTTGAACTATATTATATATAGTTCATATATATACATATATAAAAATACATACATACATACATATATATATATAATACATACATATATAAATATGTAGTCTTGAACTATATTACCCAGGATTCTGTCCACGGATGGCCATTCTCTGGTGGGCCAGAGTCAAAAACTACCCTTCAGCCCACAAGCAGGGGATGCCTTGAAGGCCAAGGGCTCTTCCGAAGAAATGGGTCTTCCAACAGAAAGGGGCATAACGAACATGGTCGAGAACGAATGAAAGCCCACAGTAGGAGCAAACGTCATTCAGATCACAGAAAAATATGTTTTTATAAATGACGTTGAGATGAATTCTTTTTCAGGGTACGGAACAATTTGCAGCTGCGGTCAAAGAAACACATGCTACAGACAGTCGTCTCTGCCGTGGGGCGTGGGGGAGGGGCCGGAAGTTGGGGGACAGGCGCGGGAGTCTGGGTTTTAGAAACGGTGGAGCAGGAAGCTGGATTCTTAGAAATTATGAAAAGGTGAGCCTGACATCCATCTTGGACACCAATTCTGGTATCCACAAACAGATGGTCTATGAATAAGTGAAAAGCACAAGTTTGGGGAAAACAAATGACCGTTCAGCTCATAAGTCATTAACAAGACTCCTTTCTTGTTTCATTACATTTCAGACAGAGAGACCAAGAAAACAATATGGCAGAGCAAATACGGGTTCTTTTTTTTAAATTTTAGCAAGACCTCTGATGCATTCGCTCCCGGGGTCTCTGTGGCTAGGACTCAGAAATGGCTATAGGGCGACAGGAAAGTCCGTCAATGCTCTTACTAACGACAGGAGCGAAGACGGGAGAAGCAGGCTCCGCCTTCGCTGGGCAAAGGTGCACTAGGAGGTGTTAACAGCCAGACCCCCCGGGCACGGCCGGACGGGCGCAGAGAGGAACGTGAGCCACAGCACAGGGCAGGAATCCCCGCCCGCCAGCAGCTCGGGCTCGGTGAGGCTGCGAAAGCTCCTGGAGCCTCCTTCCCCGCCTGCACCGGCCCGCTCCTCCGACCTACCCTTCACGGTCGGGGGGCTGTCGTGCAAGCTGCACAGGCTAATGGACCCCGCGGTCCCGAGGGGGACAGTTGAAGTGCCAAGTGGCAGAATCAGGACAGAACACGCATACACACACGCACGCACCCCACACGGGCACACTGGACAGGCCAGGGCACTAGCCCCAAACTCGCGATGCGAATTTACAGTCCTCAGTGGGGGGGGGGGGGTCCAGCCTGCGGGAGCCGAAGCAGGAGCGCGGGCCAGGGTACCACGGTTCGCGGGGTTCAACTAGAAATAAATAAAGACCTGGACCCCTGTTAGCTGCCTTCCGCCTCACGGGCGACGAGGTCAGCATGAGGGCCCCTCCCAGGCTACTCGAGGATCCTGCGACGTCCATGAGGGGTGGGGGGTCTCTGGTCTGTGTGAGGTTTAGCTCTTGCCACGAGAACTGTATTTCCCAGTGACACACGGTATTTTACGGGGTGGTTGAAAGAACTGGGTTTATCTGCCCCGAAACACGATCTCATGTTTGGGTCCCAAACAGATGAAGAAACGTTTGATTTCGTCACTGTGGTTCCACAGGGAAGGGCCAGGACCACCGAATGGCAGGGCCGCGGGGGCTTCGCTGGCGGTCCCGGCGTGGACTGTGCTCACCTCTCGGGCCACACCGGCCTCGGGGTCTCTAGGCCGTCCTCAAGCGTGCCACCCCGTCACGCAAGACATTACGAGGTCTCGGAAACAGCGGTTAGAAACTTGGCCTCGTGGGCCTCGGCTCAGCCAACCTCAGGCCAGAAGGAGGCCCGTCCTGATGCTCCTCGAGTTAACTCGGACAACTACGGTGCACCAACGCTGATCTCAGTAATTTCCCCAGATTCGAAATGCCGCACACAGACTTCTTTTGAGAACTTTGTGTGTGTGTGGGGGGGGGGGGGGGGCAAGGCATTTTGGGGAGGCCACGGCGGGGATGGCCCCCTCCGCCCTCTCGGGGACCTGGCGCTGGCCCCGGCCGGGCACTTACCGCCAGGTACTGTGGGGTGAGTCCGCCCAGACCCGTCAGGTTCCCCCAGGTGGCAGTGTTGAGCTGTTGCATCTGCTGGGCCAGCTGCTGCTGGAGGCGCCTCTGCTCCTTGTCCTTCTGGGTGTCCGCGAACTTCACTACGATGGGCGAGGAGCAGCCCTGTGGTCAGACACAGCGGAAAGTGAAGAGGGGGGTTACCGCCTGGCTGAATCCTCCCGCGACACTCAGCACTGGACCTAGCTCTCTCAACTGTCTCGGAGCACGTGGAACCTTCTGGAAGGTGTTTTCTTGTTTGTTATTTTTTTTTTAATGGCCTGATATTCCTTCTTCTTCTCTGACCAGTACCATCACCCGAAAATTCCAGATACTGCCACTGGTTTCTCGGGGGATCTGGCGGTCGGCGAAGCTATTTGCTTTCTTGCTCTGCTGATTACACTGCCTCTCCTCCTCTCTTCGCGTGTCTTCCTCCAACCTTCCCAGGACCTCCTTAGAGACAAGAGACCTTATCAATGTTCTTTAATTAAGCTTCATGGTTTGCTTGCCTGCAAGACAGACTTGTCTGTGTGTCTGCCTGTCCCCACGCGGGAGCGGGGGACAGAGAAGGAGAGATACTGCGGTGGGAAGGAACATGTCCCTCGTTCTCATATTTATTTTTTCACTCTTGCCATTGTCGGGGCCGCTTTTTTGAACTTCGGAGCGCGGGAGTCCTCCCGACGCAGCACTATAGATGGGAGAGGAGGGTTTTGTTTTAGGAAACGTGGATGGGGGCAGGAGAGATTGAGGACACAGGCCCGGCCCAGCGGCACAGGGAGGCCTCGCTCCCTTCTCGAATGTATCTACTCTATCCCCCTCACCCAGGGCTCCTGCAAACCGCCGGTCTCTGCAGCATATTCTAGTGAAAGCCGCTGTACGGGACATGGCTTCTCTCATCAATGGAGCTCACCGTTCTAGGTGCTTCTTTTCAGTTTCTGTTCCCTTTAAAAGGCAGCGAGTAGGGGCAGTGGGGGAGTGCATGGCCAAGGGATACAGACTAGGACGAATTCATGTCCGAGATGGAGAAACTCATTAGGGAAACTAAGGGCCTGCGTCTCCAGCAGGAAGACGTCCCTCCCTGAGCTGCTCTGGAACACCTGCCCCTCAGCCAACATGCGGCAGAGACACGAGTTCCTCCCTTCCCGCCCTTCTCCCTCTTACTATGGCTTGCCTACACATCTCATCACCATTAAAGCTGTTAAATTTTGCTGAGGTAAAAAGAAGTCATTCTACCTATGTGATTAAAAAAAAAAACACTTTGATTGAAACTCAGCATGATAACAGACCTCTCTCTCCCCTCTCAGAAATTTTATATTCCTACTTAAACGAGCTCTCTTTCTCTTTCCCTTCCCCTTGGGTCATTTTTCTTTCTCCTAGAAAACAAACCTGCATGTGTTTTTTTCCTTATCACCTTGAGTAGTTACTGGGGACGTAGCTGTGAATATGTGCGGCTACCGTGTCTGTTATGAGCAAAATTTAAAAAAAAATGTGCAAAAAACGAGGTGGCTGTTTCAGTTTGAACTTGCAGTGTCCCCAGTCTTCAGTGCGTAGCCACGGCCACAGGACAGAATGTTAAATGTCAGTCAACTGCATGAAAATAATCTTTCCACCACTTAAAAAAAAAAAAAATCTATACTTCATTTTTCTTCTTCTGCTCCACATTTCAGTACTTCGTTGCTTTAGAGAGAGCAAAATACTCTGAAGATGGCAATTATACAGAGGGAGGGTTTTGTATGGAAAGGGCTGTTACTGTTGTATCTAATTTGTTCCATAAAAAATCATAGCATCTCCTCCTAAGAGTACCTTTACTGATTTTTTTCCTTCCTTAAAAAAAAAAAAAAAAGACAAAGAAGCAAAATTTAGGTCCAAAATAACTTGTTTAAGCCGTAAATAGGGAAACTGGGATGGGTGCAGATTGGAGGAAAGTAGAAAAACAGAAAGTACGATATAAAAATTGTTTTAAAGAACATGTTCTTTTAAACTTTAACATTCAAATCATTTTGAATTTAAGTTTCTTAGATAATACATCTTGGTTAAAGATGTGAGCCATAGTCCTGAAAATAACAGAATTAGTTAAAAAAAAAAATCCAACAAACTTCGGTTGTACAACTATAATGTGACTGGCATACGATAAAGCCTTCCATTTAAATGTCAGTATTTTTTAAATTCAACGAGAAATTTCAATGTCTGAGGGTCCCTCTGTCTGAGCCTGGGTGTTCCAGATTTAAAAACAAGTTGCACCAAATTTGATTTTTAAAAAAAAATATTACAGATGTCAATACCAAAGGGTCAAGGATTTCCTAAGAATGAATTTGCCCCACTCTCTTCTGCAGATTCTTTTCATTCTGAGCCCTGTTCTTCTTTGGTTCTGGTTCATACCCAGGTCTGCGCTACGTTCCCGAGCTCTCTCCCTGCGGGAACACAGGAGAACACAGACCAGCATCCTCTGCAGCTTTACTCAGGGGACCCTGATGGAGGAACTGGGGTTAGAGCTGAAAGAATTTAGGTTAAAAAATCATCTAAGGTACCAATCACTAAATTACAGGAAATAAAAATGATTAAAGAGGCACATGTATGGAAGTTAATAAATACAGGTGAAAGCTTTTTTTTTTTTTTTTTTCCCTTCCCTAACCATACTCTTTGATCTCCAAACTGAAGGGTGGCTGGGATTCAGACTGATCCCAATAATGGAGCAGCCGGAGAGAAAGTGGGGGACAAAGACAGCATCAAGTGTGACTGCACGTCGTACAAGACTGGATCCCTAGGTATTTCAAATCCTGCTAATTATCTCTTATTGTGGCCGATTTTCACCTGAGCTCGCCTTCAGGTAGGGGGGTGTGAGTGTCTTAAAAATGCATTGCACTGAAAGGAAAACACAGTGATTATATAAGATATGTTAGGAATATCAAAGTCAAAATGAAGCTCAAAATAGACAATAGGCTTTGCAATGCTGATATCAAAACTCAGAAAAGTACAGGAAACACTTAATGACAAGGCCATGCACACTCCTTGCCCCCCTCATCCACCCACCTTCCACCTCACTGTAAAAAAAGTTGCCCACAAAACATGACGTGGAATGATCACTTAGCTCCCAGCATGCTTTGGGAGATGCAGCATTGCAAAAAACGAACAAAACAAACAAATAAAAAATAAAAAAAAAAAACCCCCCCCAAAAAGGGGGGTAAAAAAAAAAAAAAAAAGCGCAAACGATCCGTAAAGAAATTTTTGCACATTAAATAAAATTGAAAATATTTTGCTTTCCAGAAGATGAAAACGTAACTTCAGGTAACACCACAGGGCCACCTTGAGAAAAGATCACCCGTACACAGATATACAGAGTACAGAACATGCACTCCCAAATGATTCTACCAGACAGTACAGAGTAAGTCACAGCATATCACTCTTGGAATGCTTTTGTGCAAAATTCTGAAAGGCCAGACCCAAATCACAGACTAGAAGTACAGAGCCATCTATCTACGTGAGTGGGTGAAACACTCACATCGGCATATCCATCTTCCCCCAAAGCCACTATCTCTCATTAGGAGACCAGATTTGAGCCTTCATGTTTCTTTCATCGTGCATTTTTTTTTTTTTCCAAAAAGATGAATCTGATTTTTCAAGGGATTCTTGTCCATTAACATTTTCACTGGTTAAACAATGTAGGAGAGGTATTAATTTTCTCCTGACATTCTTGATGCAAAAACACAATTCTGTTGGACTAAAGAGAACTTGAGCCCACATTGAAGGGAGAAAAAAAAAAAAAGAAAGAAAAACAGAAAAAGGAAAAAAAAAATCAAAAAGAGCCCTGTGACTGGCACAGGGCGGGCTGTAATTTGGAGGGATGGCGGCTAAGGCTGACTCTGTACCAACCCTGGACCAGGAACGGGCTGGGTCCTGGAGAGGTCGAGGAGGAGTCGTGGTTTACATTGCATCATGACTGCTGTGTGGCAGGGCCCAGGGCCACTGCAATAAAAGGCTCAAAAAATACTGTACAGCACGTGGAAGGTTCTACTAAATGCATTTCAAGTCATTAGGGGAAAAATTCAGAGAGCGAGAGAGAGAGTGAGAGAGAGAGCGAGAGAGAGAGAGAGAGAGAGAGAGAGGATGAAGATGAATGAATGAATGGAAGAGATGGTGGAAGTGTCCGTCTGTGATTGTCACTGAACAATCCGCACAGGAGAGAGCTGCTTTACCATTCCCCATCATTTGCACAAAGAAAACAAAGAAAGGGCAGATGATACAGTACCTCCATGGTCTGAGACTGATGCATGGCTTTGATTGCATTCTGTGCCATTGCCCTTGTAGAAAATGTGACAAACGCACAGCCTGTGGGAAACAAGGGGACAGGGAGCAGGAAAGACAAAAAACAACAAGACAAAAGGGTTGGACGCTTGTTAAACCAACACAGTCTACGAGAACTGCCACAGGACGCCACTGTTCTCAGTAGTACATAAAAATCAACAACTTCTCTCTTGGTTTTATCTTAGTTTGCTTTTGACTCACAGTGCTGACTTGCTAATCTGACCAAAGCAGAAAGATTTATTTATTGACTAGTTTATTTTTTAAAATGGAGACGAGGGGAACGTAGTTGGGCACTTTTTTTTTTTTTTAAAAGACACGGGGTGGGGGTCTGAAATTAGCAAGATCTAGTCTGCATTTTCTAAAATAAAAAGTTGCTATTTTACATTTTTCTCCTTGGCTGATCATCTCGACTCAGGGCATCTACACATTCGGGCTTTTGGATTTCAAATTCTAGCGTTGACTTTTTAAGCAGCAAATAATAAAATCCTCAACACCAAGGGGCAAATTAGCAAATAAAATTCCAAAGGCTCGGAAGGTCAGCAAATTAATACATCTGATCTCTTCTGGGTAGTTAAAACATATACATGTATACGCATACACTGATGTGATTCAGATGCAGAGAAATGTACCCCAGCCTGCAGGACCTGTTTAGTGATAATTACTTATGAACAAAAACAAATGCTCTGTTACTCTGAGAATAGTCGATAGTGCACACGAGGCGAAACTTTAAAACCTGCGTTGGATTTCTAAGTTGTAGAAAATCTTTAGGACTTTCCCAAGTTGTGGTTTCGGCTATGCATCCGGGATCTGACCTAAGGTTTAACATCCACCAGACAATGTACAGTTCTCTGAACGCTTCCGGTGAGACCCATTGAACTTTCCATGGCTCTTTATTTCTCATGCTGTAAAATCACCAGAACCCACAGCGCCTGCCCCAGCGCCTGGTGGCAGGTGCTAGCCACCGTGCAGGTCGCCGTTCCAACTACATGGCTCATTGCCCTTTTCACTAATAAAAACACTGTCTGCTGAAATTTACATTTTCTTCATCGTGCACCCTTGGGCTTCTTAGGGAAAAAGACTGTGAAATTAATGCAGATTCAGGCTGATTTTATAATAATACCACAGCACACTAAAAGCTTAGCTAAAGCAATGCAGACTTATTTCACTTATGATCTCTAATGACTTTAAAAGTGCATTGATTTTCAGCTTCTTTAGCTCTGCACAGTTTGAACTTAGGTATCAGAGAATAATTTAGTGTTCCACTCAATTTCTTCAAAACATTATTATTATTACTACTTAAAAGATTTCCAAATGAAGCAGATCTAAACACCGAGAGGCGGGAGCCTGTTGTCATCTCAGAGTGAATGCACGAAAGTGGGATACTGGCATCTGCAATGCAAGATTATCACCCCTGTGGCCAGTAGGCCAAACAGAATGTTCTACATCCCAAAAAAAAAAAAAAAAAAAAAAAAAGAAAGAAAGAAAAAAGAAAAAACCCAAACAAAAAACCCCCCAGCAGATTGTTTGATTTATGTAAATCAATTTGTGAGCCATAAAATATATTTTCTTCTTTTGCTCTGCCTGAGTACCTGGTGAGATTATCAAGTCAATACTGTATTAGCACCTTTTAATCAAACAGCAATAAGAGAAAGCAACACCTGCCCATTATCCCCAAAGCACAAAAACATCCAGTCATGAAAATAAGTCAATGCATTTTTTTTTTTTTTTTTGCATCATGCCGTAATTTTGAATACAACAAAACTCTGAGTACACGGGAGAGTCATCTCTCATTGACCTCCCAGTTACGTTGGCCGCAAGAAGCCTGAGGTCTAGCTTGCTATGAATGCCGAGTGGTTTCGTACACTTCTCTGACATTATAGCAGCTAGTGAAGCTTACTATTTAGACACACTGCCTGCTCCTCCACTGGCTGTAGCTTCTGTCATCAGGGAAAGCGATCTGGAGCCTTCTTTGAGGCATCTAGAAGGTGTGTGTAACAGCGTGCGACAGAGGACAGCACGTCTACGGGCTTCCATATTGTGACTCAGCTCTACAATCCGAGAGCCCCAAAGTTACCGTCCGTCTCCAAATAGTACCCCTTCAAGAACATTGTGATTATCACCGACATCGTTAACGGAGGCGAGAACACTAAGATGTGTCTTCTTCCGTTTCTTGAGACCACAATGGAATTATTTGCTTTTGCAAATCCTCTAAGGGAAATATACCTGACATCATGTGAAGCCTGGCCTAACTCTGCTTTTAATAGTCAAGAAGGCTGTTTCATTCACTTTATTTGCTCTTATTATCCAGGAACATGTGCCGAACTGACAGTTTCTGAATGGAGGTTAAGAATGCATTAAAAAAAAACACACACATATAAAATGTCAACAGAAATCAATAAGGCACAGTTTATGCATTTACCACAATTTCAGAACAAACAGAACTTTTTCAGTAACTTAGTGAGAAAGATACAGCAATTAGCAGGTCTCAGAAGTATTAGCAATACAACAATAAAATTCTGTCTCTATAAACTTGAACGACCGCTCTTTCCTCTCTGAAACTCGCAATTAAAAGCTCGAATGATGTTTCTAATTACAGAACCCTTACTGCATACCCCCCCCCCAAAAAAAATATATCTGACAAATCTGATGACTCCTTTAACCTTTTTACTCTATTGGCAGTGGTGTAGGAAGAGAGAACCTGTCTCGTCAGGGGCTCTGTCAAGTTCGGACTATGTGTGGTGTTCAATTACTTCAGAGGGAAATTACTGTCGTTTGTAAAGGGAGTGCGCGTGTTGAAAATTTCCCTCCCTCTGCCATTCTGAACTTCCACAACTTCAGAACCCAATGTTTCATGGCTTGGTAGCTTGTTAACCTTTGTAATTTCTGCTCTAGTCCTCTGGTTAGATGTTAATTTTCTTTTCCCCATCACTGAAAACATGGTGGCGGCTTTAGGATTATGCCTCAGATCTGTGGCTTTTCACTAATACAGGGTCATCTGAGCTTCTTCCATGAAGACTGGCTGCCAGCTTCTCTGACCTTGTAGAGTCAGCCCTCCACTGTTCTAGAATGTCTCAGGGTTAGCCCTCCTCTGTTCTAGACTAGTGGATGTCCTGTCTCAGTAGTTAGTTCTCTGGCTACTGACTAAAACGCAGGAGAAACTAGAATGGGGCAAAAAAGATCACATGGACCAAGATAATGAAGCTTTTTAAAAAAAAATTTTGGGAGTTTTGTTGTTTTTTGTTTTGTTTTGTTTTCCTTAGGAAAGGTAGTCTGTATATCATTGTCTTAAAGCCTCTCCATATACATAATAGCTGAAAAAAATAAAGGAAAAGTCTGTCCTTAACTGTGGCCAACCTGTCATTTACCTTACAATTATTTATTGTCTCCACTACTTTCAGAATGTCAGAGATTGCTCAGAGAAATGAAAGGAACCGAACTCCTCCTAGTTCAGTGAGGTTGCCTTCTTGCTGCTAAAACAGATAAATGATTGACTGGAGAAAGGTTTCTCCAAGTAATTTCCTCCTACAGACGGGATCTAAGGAAAGCACGTGGCCCTGTCACAGAGAAGATTCTGGAACACATCTATTATACTTGTCATTTCAACCGAAAAGCTATCTTTGCTCAGGTGTTCTACCCTTTCTCTCAGCTGCAGGAGAATTTTGAGAGAACGAGATGAATTCTTGGTCTGCGCCAGAAAAAAACAGAGAGCGAGCGAGAGAAGGGGGAAGGAAGGAAAGTAGGAAGGAAGGAACTTTTAAAAGCACGTCTAACGCCAGGGCCTCTTGCTTTTCTGCCTCTTCTTTGAAAGAGAAGCAGCAGCCTGCTAGATTTCAAATGAGGAGGATAATTTAAAATAACTTGGGCAGCGTGAAAGCACTTGCGGCCTAGGGAAGACTTGTTTATAAATTCCCGTTGTGCCAGAGAAAGTTCTTAATGCAGCCAATTCTCCTTGTTCTATCTTTTTAGCAGTGGCAGAATTTATTAAACGTACCTATCACTACCACACGAGAGCTTCCCAACTACCGCGTGGATGGGCCATCCCCAGGGTTGGGTTAGTTCACTTGGAACTGGCGTGGAGAGACAGCTGGTCCGTGCTGCCCGAGGCTGAGTGTGGAGGGGGACTTACTGCTTTGCAGAAATCTCACCCCTGTAAGGAGCTTCAGAGACTGTCCTCAGAACGACAAAATACAGTTAATAACCCCAGGGTATTTGATACGCATTTCCACGTCTGTTTAGATGCTAATTGGGCATGCCTAAGACGTCCTGATCAAAACCGAGTCTGCTCCAGGTACAGATTTCCAAAGTCAAAAGCCCAGTCCTAATATTCTGATCAGATATAATGGAAACAAATGAGGATTTAAGGGCTAAAGCCAGTCTGGGCTTGCCAACATCCCCGAAAATATTGCCAATTTCATTTGTCAAGGGTTTTGGCAGGAGGACGTTGGAACACTGTAAACACAGCTGGAATATTCTTAAACAAGCAGAAAGTTACCTTACATGGCAGTGCAGATCTGACTACACTTCACAGGGACAGGAAAAGGAGAGAAACTCTTTCCTGGTCTCCGAGTTACGGAGAGTCGTTGCCAGGGTGCAGAAAGCAAACCGTGTAGACTATACCCAGACAGCCTATTCTGACTGTGGGGTTACGGGTACGTGAGAACATGTGCATCTTAGGAAACCAACAGGCGGAGGGGACACTCATAAATAAATGCACAGGCGGAGAAGACTTTCAGCCTAGATTTTGAGAGCAGATGCCCCATCTGACTTCCTGTGCATGGGTTCGTGGCATCCTGCTCGCTTTCTCCGAGAAGGTCCATTCGGCAGGCCTGGGAGGCCCGCCTGCTGTTGCAGAAGGAGCTGAGTATTATGAAGGGGCTGGAAAGCACCTCAAACCAGGTTTTCCAAATGAGAAAAGATGGCAGAACGGATTACTGGCCCCAGAGGGGAAAACCCATGTTTAGCTGAGGGCACATTGCGTAAAGAGAGTCAGACTCCTGATGCTCGCTGAGCGCTGGTTTCAACGTGCTTGGTAGATGCCAGCTGCTGGTCTGTGTGCAGCCATGACAATTCTTAGGGAGGGGTGGGCGGGGGGGGTTCTGATCTGGAACGTGGCACAAATCGGGGACTGCAGAGTCCTGATGGGACTTTACAAACGCTCTTTCTTGCCAATATGGAGATGACAATTTTTGTTTTAAAGATGGTGATTCTAAGCCAAAGTCCAGAGCTGTGGGTCCTGACAGCCCACTACCTGCATCAGTGGGGCAGCCCCGATCCTATAAGCCTGGGGAAACCTCGGCTTCGCAGCCTGCAGGGAGGAAAGAAAGCCATGGAGGTGGCAGAGAAGACCGGACAGGAGACACGTGGTGGAGAAAGCCAAGAACCGCCTCTTTTGTCTTCATTCTCGTAGCGGAACCGGGCAGGAGTGAAGCCAGGAAAGTGAACCACTTCTCTGGACCTCTCCCTTGTGACCAAACGGTGTGAGTGCAAAACCTTTTTCCTGACTAGCTCATACTCAGTTTAGCATTAGAAGGTGCTTTCCAGAGCAGCTCACCTTTCCTTTCACTTAGTTTTTATTTATTTATTTGTGTCTCAAACAGCTGAGCTAGCAACAGGCAGGGAGACGGGAAATGCTGAGCACCCTTTATCTGCAGAGCCACTAATGGGAGATACTCCTTAATATTTGATTGAAAACTCCAATTCTTTAATGAAAGCAAAATAGTGGCATGAAAGAGAATTGTTCTTTTCACAAATACACTGATTCAAGAGCCGTCCCCTGTACCCGGGAGTCCCTGCTTGAAAAACCGACCACTGTCCAGCTTTGTATTTCAGAACAAGTGGTTATAAATGAGTATTTCCTTTTTTGCCATAGGGAATTCTCATCAGGTCCCCAGAAAAAAAGGCAGGGAGGAGGAGTCTACTCTTTACACCGAGCCAGCATCTGCATAAAATGCAGGTGAGAATGCTCCCGAAACTCCCGCGGACATCGGCAGCCGCGTCCTGCTCTCCCCTGAGGGCTGGGCACCTGGCAGATCTCATCTGCAGAGATAACGCCGTAGGCTCAAGCAGCTGAAGATGCTCCTCGTTACTGTCTCCCCTGGAAAGTGTCCGGGGGCCCCGGGCCCGCAGAGTCAGAGCAGGAGCCGAGGTCTCTCTTAAGCCAAGCCCTGGGACGGGAGCGGGGCAGCTACGGTGACTGCTGCCATTCACAAAGGGGTAAACTGAGGCACAGAGCTAGGACGAGGAACTCGGAAGGCCTGGGACTGGATCTCGGGGTTACTGACATCTGGGCCCTATAAATGTCACCATGATTAAGTGAAGGGCCTTCCTTTCTGTTCTGTCTCCGCACTACATGCAAATGCAAAATGCAAAATGCAAAACTGCCCAGACGGGTGTGTGGCTGAGAATAGGGGGGAGAAAAGAGGGGTTCGGACTGCTGCGTTGGCAGTGGGTCAGGGATTGCAAAGACAGGATCACATGTCTCCTCTGTGTTTTTTTTCGGCCAGCCTGCCTTTTCCCATGGGGTTCTCCTCCACCCCGGGTTGGTCCCCTTGAGTGGGTGGGTATCTCTCTCAACTGCTGGCAGAGTCAGAGGACCCCAGGCGATGGAAGAGCTCTTGGGGAGCGGGTGTGCCGGAGTGGAGATCCCAGCCTCCTCCTATGCCCCTGGGGCTGTGTGGCCACGGGCCTGGGGGGCTGCTGTGGGTGACGCCAGTGACCGCATGGGTGGCGAGCCACGGCTCAGGGTCTGCAGGCTAGGGTCCCGCTCAGGACCCATCTGGGGCGGCTGTGGGAGAGGCCCGTGTTTGCAGGGAGGCAGAATGACAACATTCGCAACTCTCGGGGAACGCTCCAGCTGTCACTCCCCTGCCTCCTTCCTTTTAAAACCACCTTCGGAAGAAAACATGAGCACCGCAAGCTGGAAGCTGTTTTGCCTCCTTCTCCTGTTCCCTCGACTACCTCCGTGTGGGGCTCTGGAGGTGGGTGTAGGCGGGAAACCTTTGTTCCCTGTGCCTTCCCCTCTAGCAGCTGACATCGTGAAGAAGTTTAGTGTCTCAAAGTCAAAAGAACAAATGTTCTTCCCCACATGGTGCTGCGTTTAGCTAAAAGGAGGGAGATGGGTGAAAATCAGTGCTTTGAGACGTAAGGCCCGACCTTTCCTTCCAGCACCGGGAATGAGATGGCAGTGCTGGCCCAGAACCGGAGCCTGGGAATGACAAGAAGTTTCTAATCAGCCCCGCGGAAACTGCATCAATGAGCACATTAATAGAATGAGATCCTCTCTGTGTTACAAACATGGGGATTTCTTAGAAGAGGTGAAAAATACGTTTTATGCATACACTCTGACTGCAGCCTCCTGGGCCGTCTTAGGAAACACAGTCTGATGGGGGGGGGGTGGGCGCCAGTGACAGCGCTTCTGAGTGGTTTAGGAAGGGTCTGTGTGGCGCTGTCCGAGGAGAGGAAAACACGGAGAGAGAACGGTTCTTTCCAGTTCCCTTGGAGAGCTGCCTGTGAAACTGCTGGTTTCCGTCAGTGCTCGAAGCCACCGTCTCTGCTCCTGTCACGGTGACAGAGCTGAGCCTACATCTCCTGGGCCAAGTCACCTCTCTGCCACTTCATGAACTTCCCCCGATCGGGCCTCCAGGAGTTGTGATCTTGAAAATAAAACCCTGATAGCCCGAGACAAGCCCAGCTCTTCGGAGCCCCTACCTGCTCTGCACTACACAGGAACACCGATGTTCTCCCTTGGTTTCTATCGCTGTCAAGAGACCCATCCACTTCACGTTTCTCCTGGGCACAGGCAGGAAGCCAGAGACTGAGATGAAAACAACCCATGTTCTCTTTCCTCCTCCGCATCTCTCCCTCACCCCCAAAACGTACTTCAGTTTGAGGTCGGAAGGGCTGTACAACGACAGGGCGGCCCATCGGCTTCCCTGCTGGCCGGGAGAGCCTGAGACAACACGCGGGCTTCCAGACCTTCTCGACCTGAGAGATACAAGGCGATCCCTTCCGCTACGGTGAAAAGCTCACGGTGGATAACTCGACCGCAGGGGACACGTTACAGGGTAACCTCTTGCTGCGTGCGGTGGCTACGTCTACCTTGACTGTGACACAGAGTTCCAATTAGCACTTAAGGGGAGAGACTTGATAGACGGCCCACTCACCTCGACTCAGCCCGTCGGGTCCCCGGAGAATCCGGCATTCTTCTATCTGGCCAAATGGAGAAAACATCACCCTGATATCATTCTCATTACATTTCTTCGAAACCATTCCTATGAACAATTTTCGGTCTTCCACGGCTAGGAGATAAAAATAATGAATGAGCAAAGGCCATTTTGATCCCTTTTCTTGTAATCAATGCCTCATTACTGCACCAAGCTGGGGGGACCCCCGGTCATGTGAGAGGAAGCGGCGCTCCAAGGCCAGCTCTTCCGACTTCCAGGCCTGCTTCCTTCTCCACAGCCAAGGCTCCCACCCCGCTCTCCCACCCAGCCCTTCCCAGACAGTGCTTTTCTCTGTGAGCTCGTCCTTACCCATACGACACCTTCAGAGGACACCAGATGCTGTGAAGTCCCACCCCCCACCCCACCCTGTTGGGAAACTCGCAGAGCTTATGGACAGGTTAAGCCCCACGTACTGGCCCAAGGCTACTGTGACTGAGACATACATAGGAATGTGCCTTCGAATTTTTCTGTAGGTGTTCTTTTAACTTGAATGACCGAGAAAGAAAAAGGGTCAGGGAAAGAAAAATAGGACAAACAGAGGAAGCATGATAGAAAACACAACTTTTAAAGATTTTATTTATTTATTTGACAGACAGAGATCACAAGTAGGCAGAGAGGCAGGCAGAGAGAGAGGAGGAAGCAGGCTCCCCACCGAGCAGAGAGCCCGATGCAGGGCTCGATCCCATGACCCTGGGATCATGATCTGAGCGGAAGGCAGAGGCTTAAACCCACTGAGCCACCCAGGTGCCCCAGGAAACACAACTTTTAATAAGGCACTTGTTGGAAAAAACCTTCTTCCCCAATTTCAAATAGCTTGGTCCCGTGGATCCAGACCATAAAGAGAGATAAGGGAGATGCTCCTTTCTCTGGAGAGCCAGTAAATGACCTGCCGTCGGTCTGTCCGTCCGTCTGTCCATCACGCTGGCTATGCAGCTCTAACCAGGACAAGGCATGGTCTGCACTTCTGACTGAAGAGCAAAGCCGCTGTAGGAAGAGAACGGGACTGTGGCCACTGGAGAATCCCATCGGGGTGGCGCCATGCTCGGGCTGGAACCCAGAACAGAAAAGAGCAAGGAGGGAACCGTAACTGTTCTTGGCAACTGGAGACAGGACTTTCGATGACCAGAAATGAGTTCAGGTGTCATGACAACCACACGCCAATTCTAACCTTGGAAATGGTCACGAGGGTAAGACTGGGAAAGGTTTGCCTCTGATGACTTGGGAGATTTTCCTCAAAATCTACAAGCTTGCGCTCAGGATAAGAAGCCTACATTTAGCCTCAAAGGCTCAATTATCACTGATTTCAGGACAGTGTTTGCAGCCTTTTTTAGGAAAGAGCAAAAAAAAAAAAAAAAAAAAGAGAGAGAGAGAAAGAAAAAACCCCGTTTCAGACGTCCACAGAGAGGAGTCTTGCTTATTGCTTCCTGTGTTGCATTTTAATCCATTTCTTAGGACCGCAAGCAAGGGCAGCCGGCCAGACAGCACCTCACACCGGCCGGCTGGAGAAGGGCCCTGCCGTCCACCACTGAGTGCAAACCTTTCTGCTGCATCGTCATCTCACCTTTGCTTTCTAATGGGCTTTCATCTCTGTCTCCCTTACTCTTGCCCTGGACAGTCAGTGTCTCCTTTTCATTTAAACAACAAGAATGCATTTTAGACTTTGTAGGGTGAGGTGCTCTTGGTGCACGAGTCCAGCTGGCTGGGTTGGGGCGGGATCGGTCGGGGAAGCAGGGATGGGACCCGGGGAGGTGCCCTCTGGAGCGGCGCCGTCCAGGAAAGGAACCAATCAGTCTGTGACGTCCACTGCAGTAGCTGAAGCCTCGCGTGGCTTCTGAGCCCTTGAAACGTGGCCAGCCGTGTGACTGCGAAACTGCATAGTTACTGTGATTTAACTGCAACTAATTTAAATTTAAAAAGCCACAGGTGACCTTCTAGAGGACAGTGCAGCTCTGAGAGGCCCCTCCCCCTACAGCCACTGGAAGGGAGAGATTTGAAAGAGGTTTTGTGTCCTTCTAAAAGACAACCCCCCCAACCCCGTGGGACAGGGAAGGAACTTGCCTGGGGTCACTCAGCAAGGGGGGGGTCCTAGCCTGGACCACACCTGTTGTCCCACTCCTGGCTCCATTCCTGTCTCCTGTGACGTTTCCTAGGAGAGCAGAGGAGGGAGAGGACACCTCCAGTGGACAGCAGGGCAGGGTCAGGAGACCTGCCTGGTCCCAGCCCTGCCACCTAGTTGATGTGTGACCCTGGGGAGTGAGAGGACTTCTATGGACCTTGGTCTTGTCACCCACAAAATGGGTTTAAATTCTTCTTTTTCCTTGATGTCCTTCTTAAGGAGCAAAGAGAGGGGGGCCCTGCTACATGGCTGGGGTGACTGAAGTACTTGGGGGTGGGGCGGAAATGCTGAAGCCCAGAATCCCACTGGCTAGCCGCACGCCGCCCTCAGGCAGCTCCTGAGTCAGCGCAGAGAAACGGGGGGCTCTGAGGAACCCGGGCGGAAGCTGTGACGCCGTAGCGCATGAGTTACGGATCGTGCGCTAAGAGCTGGAGAAAGGCTTGGCAGACGGAGGATGCGGCATCTAAGCTGGACTTCAAGGAGCAAGGGCTGGGAGATGCCTGGGGGCAGCACACGGTGGGGTGGACAGAGGAAAGCAGCCAGGCTTCGGCACCACAGGCATCATTTCCTGCTGCTCCTGTCGAGAGGGGCTCAAGGTGGAAGGACAGAAACACCCTGGGTTAAGCCTCATCAGAGTGGATGTGGGCAATGGCGTCATTGGCTCTGAGTCATCGGGGGAAGCTGGTGAGGACCTGGCTTCCTCCCTTAGATGAACAATCTTACATTTAAGCTCTTTTTTCGCCCATCAGTGTAGGTGAGCTACCAGAGATCTACGGAAAAGCGGTGGAAGGAAACATCTGTGCTCACCAACACTGGGACCACCAGGGTGACGCAGTGGCCCAGAGGGAACACAGCATCCCCCCGATGGGAAGGAATGGACTGAACATGATAGAGTAGGAAGCAGCAAACTTCGAGTCACAGTCGTGACCTCTCCCTGTGCCCCTCACCATCCCTGGGACTTTTACAGGAGGAAGCTGTGGCTGGTATCTTGAGAGTGAAAAAAAAAATTCTCTTGAATTTCTTCTTATCCTGAAGGATCCCATTTTGGTTCTTTCAAACAGAAGCAAATGATAAATTCCCAGGGAATCCTTGGTTTAACTGGGAAACCTATCATGATGGCACGGGGCTCCGGCGGATGCTGGCGGAAGCTCAATGAGCAGCTCCCGAGTAAACAAAAGAATGATTTTTTTCCTAAGATGCGTAGTAAGAACTGGAAACCACCTGCCAACAAACCCTGGCTTCCGAGGCATCCCGCCGGCTAAACCCGGGTCGGGAGATGGAAGAGAACGCTCTTTTCATTACCAAACTGTCGCTAAGGAAATAGAATGGAAACCTACACCATCCAGACGCTCTCCGTAGTGCTAATGCCCTCCCGTGCGCGCACCCCGTCAGGGAAGCTGGATGTTTGCAATCCCTCGATCGCCCTAGTCCCCCGTGGTCCTGACAGCTGGGACCCCGTGTGCTTTAAAGGGCAAATGCAGAGAACGGCTCACTCCCTGCTTACTTCCCCCCTCGAATTTTCCCGGTGAAAACTTTTCTGGAACTTATTCCTGGCATTCCCAGCCTGAGGATCCCTAAGCGACTTTGTCAGCATTTTAAACAAATATAATTATCCTGCGTTCACTGAACTTCCCATCGATCTTTGATGAATTTCTTGGTGGGATTTATTCCTCAATTTCCATAGGCAGGCAGCGGCTCACCTTGGTTTCCAGTCCATGGGAATGTGGATTGCTTAAAGGAACCTACTGTGTCTATAGTATTGTGTTAAGTGCTTTACAGGAATTAAAAAAAAAAAAAAAAAAAAGGAAGGAAAGACTACGTCCCTGCCTGCAGGGGAAAAATCTACTTTCTTTCAGGATACCTGACAACTGGCCGACGGAGGACGCCTTTCACACCGTGCGCCGTACAGGTGGGCTGACCTTATCACCCGTTACGACGGGACTGGGAGCCATCCCATAACCAGCGACCATTTCAAGTTGTCCTCCCGTGGTGTGGGAAAGGGTTAACATTTTAAGTTTTAAGTGGGGACTTTTCTAAGTTCGGGGAATAGAAACTTCGTTTCTGAAAAACCCCTAATTGTGAGTCTGTGCGAACACCCTGGTGTACAATCTGTCAAAGTCACACCTGGATTCAGGGCAGCCTGAATTAATTAACAACTTTTCAATGTGTTAGTGCTAACATATGGCATTTAATTACTGCCTCCAAATCCGTGAGTCTCTCCACTTTGAATTTCAAAATTATTTCTTCCTCTTCCAGTGCCTCCGAAAGTGAGAGAATGGGGATGCCCATGAATCCCATCTTTGGCGGAGGGTTGCAGGCCTCCGAGTTCCCCGACCATGTTCCGTCATCTGGACCCACGAGCTCCGAACTCAGGGCACGGACACCAGGGGTCTGGGAGGCCTTGGGAAGAAAGGGCTTACTTGGCATTTCTGGACATGGGGCTCCAAGCAACGCCAACAAGCTGTGAGGTTGGAGGGCTAAAGCAAGGGCATTTATGCTCTGTCTACAGAGTCAACTAAAGCAAAGTAGAGCAAAGCAAAACAAAAACACCAACTCTCTCAAGCAGGGGCACGACCCAAGAGTGAACACTGGTTCATACTGGCTGGTTGCTGAGACCCCCAGGCCCAGAACCGAAGGTGACCTCTACGGTTTTCTTAGCACTTACTGCTAGACTGACTTCAGATCCGGCAACTGACTTTACTTTTCCATCTTGCACAGCGGGTACCTTTTTCCGCACAGCAAACAAAGCTGGAAAAGAGGCCCTCCCATGGCACATAGAATGAAAGATGGTGACCCTGTCTGCACTAGGGTATGTTGCCATCTGGAACCCATGACTCCTCAAGCCTCTGGCCTTGCCGCTACCGAGTGTACGCGGTGTAAGGATGGTAAGACAACTTGGAATCTGAACTTTGGGTATTTATTCACTGTGTTCTTCCTAAAGACCCCAGCATTTTATTGCTGATCCAGAATGGGATTTTTTTTTTTTTCTTTGAACACCTGCCACAGTTAGAAGCACCAGGGCAGAAGTAAAATGCTGTGAGTTTGCAGAAAGATGCTAGAGGCTGCAGCTTAAATCAGACCCAATTAAGAGGGCAGGCTCTAGGAGGCCTGGAGATCTAGAAAGCCCATGCAGGAAAATCCTGAAGGGCACGACAGATCCAAGAGCAGCCCAGTGCGTCTGGGCTCGCCATGGCGGTTCCCTTTGTCAGAATATCTAGATGGACAAAAGGGCTTCCAAGAGTGATTGCTTTCTGGAATTCATCTGTCCATCACTAATTAATCCGTGATTAGCAGCCCTTTCTTGCTCAGCAAATATAAAGTTTCCGAGAGCCGAACATACTGATAATGAAGATGGTAACTGTCTAACGGTGATGAGTCCTTTGTGCTATCCATAAATGTCAGCAAACTCAATAAAGGTGCAATTAGAGCTCGTTATCTCCCTTTCACAACTCCAGGAGCTACCGAGAGCATCTGAGCCAAAGAAATCTGTGTGCTCTCTGAGCTTTGGAAACTACGCTTATCTGTCAAAACTGCCATGTGAAATCAGAAAGGACGTGCGCCTTTTAATACTTGCTTTAGAAAATGATACGATGCTCCTGATTCCTCCGCCAGGTCGGAGGAGAACCCCATAGCCTGCTCAGTCTTCACAATGCTCGGCATAGGCTTTGCACCTCCATGAAGAGAAATGCTTTAAAGGGCGCCTTCCGTCCGCTGATACTTTTTGACCCCGCCCCCCCACCGAAACGCAGAACGTGAAGGTCACTCCGCAGAGCAAAGGAAGATCTGGCCCAACAAGACGGTTTGCGGAGGTGGTTTTTCCCTTCGTGTGTACAGAGCTATGCCTTGCTATGAAAGGGAGCCCTGACTGCTCAAAATGCAGGAACACAGCTGCCTCAACCAGCCACAAGTGCGCGGACGACCCGGCAGAGTGGACATTTACTAAGTGCCGGGTATCACGTGAAGCTCTTTGCAGATGTCAACTAATGTGTTCCCAGAGCCACCCTGCAAGGTGGGCGTTACACGAATTCAGACTATGGACCACGCAACCCCTCTCACACCTGGAGATACGGGCGCTGGGTGAGGTCACAGGACCTGCTCAAGGACCCACCTAACATGTGCAGGGTCAGGGGTCAAGTCTGGGCTCCTAGAAATAGCTTTTCCTGGCTACCCTGAGCTGCGTCCTGGACAACAGTGGTTTTTTTTTTTTTTTTCTATTAAAGATTTTATTTATTTATTTGACAGAGATCGCAAGTAGGCAGAGAGGCAGGCAGAGAGAGAGGGGGAAGCAGGCTCCCCACTGAGCAGAGAGCCCGATGTGGGGCTCGATCCCAGAACCCTGAGATCACGACCTGAGCTGAAGGCAGGGGCTTTAAAACACTGAGCCACTCAGGTGCCCGGACAATGGTGTTTTTAGGTAACTTCGTGTCTTAGTGAAAGTGTTTAATCCTGCTTGGCTTGATTGAGATTGTGCAAAATGGCTGGCTGACTACAGTCATACTCTGTTGCTGTGGTTCTGGACCCGGAGAGGACATCGGCCTCAGCATCCAGAGCCGACACTGGGAACAAGGTGCGACCTCCAGGCAGCTAGCCTAGAGAATGGATTCTCTGAGTCAGGCGTTGTATCCATAGAGCAGCAAATGCAGAAGAAGAAGCCCTTTCATGGTCCCACCACCTGGGTATGTCAGGTCAAATGTTTCCAGTGGCGTTCTCCCATTCATCCTGCTTTTATAACGGTGACATAAGGTTCAGAAATAAGACAAAGCTTCCTTCACGGCCCTCGTCCCAAGACAGCCTAGAGAATTCAGGGTCCAAAGGAATGGGAGCATTTCTTAGGGGCCAGGAGCTCCCAGATGACCTTCAGACGGGGTTCATCCCCCAAATACACAATGCCTCTCTCCCAGGAGGAACAGAATGGACGTAAACGTGTACTTCTGGGGTAAAAGGCTCAGGAGTCAGCACGGGCACCTGGCCTTCCACCTGTTGACTCTCAGTGCAGAGCCCTATGAGGCCAGAGAAATATCTGGGAGGCAACAACAACCCTCATTTTATAGAAGTGGTGGTCTACCATTTGCAAAACACTGTTGTATCTTACGTGAGTCTTTAAATTAAAAAAAAAAAAAAAAGCCAATCTATGGAGGTAGCGACCATCACTCCCATTCATGAACGAGGAGATCCAAGTTCAGTCGTTAAATGACTGTCAGATCAGCAGACTCAACGTCAGTAAGTTCTGTGGGGTCAGGACAGTGTCTTTGTACTCCTTTCCCTTATTCTGCTTCAGACCTGGGGCTATAGCCCAGCCAAGCCCCAGGCAACAGGCCTGGGGCACGGGAAGTCATCACGGGGTAATTGCTGAATTCTGGATGCAGGGTTTGGGGTACATAGTACAGGTAGGAGGGAGCAGACTGTCAGAGGTGCGGTGGTGGAAAAGACGGGGTGGGGGTGGGAGGCGGGCACCCAAGTCTAGTTCCTGACAGACCAACGGGGGGCTGGTGGCACCACGCTATGACTTGGAATTTTCTTCCCAACTTCCTAGTCTGTGAAGAAGCCAGAAAATGGGACGCACTGCAATTAGCAAAAAGTACCTTGTGGAGAGAGTTAGACCCCAATCATAATTTACATTTGCAGATATGCAGATCTCTGAGTGCATGACTTCTGCCCTGATTACTAATTAATGAGCTGCAAACCTGCCTGTGGGAGCAAACAGTGCTGATTATGTCAGTCATGGGGGACGGAGACGTGCTGCGGTCTGAGAAGGTATAAGATTCCTTTAACACACACTTTAGTACATTCAAAGAACAAAATGGGGACAGAAGACGGGTATAGATGGAAGCAGCAAGTTGGAGGAGACAAATGTGGCTGTTGGCCCTTCTGCGACGTGGAGAGAGAAGTCTCAATGATTTCACAGACCGTGTCCCAGGCATATTTTAGCACTGAGCACCCGTTTATGTAATCAGCTGGCTGAATTCTGAATGAATTCGGATGCAAATGCATCGGTACAACTTAGAGGCGAGTGCCAGGGAGGAACACACCAGAGGAGGAGAAAAGAGAGCGGGGTTCCTGGTGGGCGAGCCCTTTTCCACTCCTCTGCTCTGCACACTCTGAGGTCCTTCCTCCCCATCGGGGTTCCTGGGCTGCATGGTCTGTGGGCGGGGGACCAACTAGAGGCAAAGACCACCGAGTCACCACCCAGAGCAAGCCCTGAACAGAGGGGCACAGAAAACCATTTCCCGTAACGTCTTCACACATCTCGACACCAGAGACCTACGAGGCGGGAGAGTGAACTTCTCCAGCCTCCAGGTGCAGGGCAAATCCCGGGAGCAGGTCCCCTGCCTCTCCCGGAGCGGAGGCACATGAGGCCGCTCCTCCCTCCCCGCTGACTTCCTCGTTGACACAGACAGACAGCAGTACACGAGACAGTCGGTCACCACCTACCGTTCGACTTTTCACTATCTGCAGGTTTCATCTGGATGGGATGGTGCATCTAAAAACACAAAAGCGAGACAGTAAAGGCAGGTTGAACAACTGCGCGCAGGTCTCAGAAACCCCGCACTCGCACGCTCGAGACCGCGTCCTGCTCTGAGGACACATCAGTAATAACAGGATCTCTCTCCGTCAAATGTAACCCCGCGAAAATGCAGCCTGCCGCGGCGTTCGGGAACAGAACCCTTCGCATCACTGGACCCCGCGGCACAGGACTGGGCTTTGCAGCCGGACCTGAGCTTGCAACCCGGTTCTGACACTCAGCAGAGTTTCTGCCAGCATCGGGCAGGCACGTTTGGCTCCGCCGTTCATCATCACCGCCACGTGATCTCGGGCGAGTGTCCTAACTTCCCTGAGACTCAGTTTCCTTATAGTGCAACAGAGGTGACACCGGCACGGTGGGAACGAAATGAGCAAAGGGCACGTAAAGGGGCTGTCATGAACAGCGCACAGGACACGCTGAGAGACGTGAGCTACTGTTACTCTGTAGTATGTCACACATTTCAATGCAGATGGTCTCTGTTTTGCTGGTGGCCATGTGCTCTGCTGCATGATCTTTCTTAGATCTCACGGTCACGGGAAATTTGAAGGTCTAGCGGTGGATTGACTGAGGCGCGATTATGTACGTTCTCCAAACACCAGGTCTGACCCAGGAATGCGGAGCTACTAAAGGGACGGAGGGGGCGGGGAGGAAGGGCAGGAGGCATGGATCTTGCGATTGGGACCGCTCGGTCCGTGTGCAGGGGCAGGAGGACCTTGGGACAAAGCGGCGCCGCGGTCCTGAGTCGCGGTGCCCCAGCGCTCTGTGGCTCTTCACTTAGTGCCCACCTCACTGCCGCGTGCCATCCACCGCGTGCTGAACGCGACCACCATTTCCAATGAAAATAAATTCCCGCAACCACGGTCAAAGGTCCTCGCACTTCCTACTTCATCAGACCCCGAGGAACCTCGGAGCCCCGGTGTAGATGGAATCACTGGCCGTGCAAATGCTTTTATTCGAATGGGTCCCGTTCTCGCTGAACCTCTAATCCCCCCCGTGGACTGCCAGCACTTGCAAGCCCCAGCTCTGGGTTTTATCCACTTTAAAGGAAAGCGGAATGGTACTTGGCTCCGGCACTTAAATGATGGGAAATTATCATCAGGCAGTCAGGGGCCTGTGGAGCTAGTGCCTGGCAGGGTCTTCAAAACACGAGAGGAACAGCAAAGAGGCAGTTCTATCAGGGGACGAGGGGCTGAATAATTCAGAGCTGCCTCGTCTGTTCTAAAAGGCAAGATGCTCTCGTGCACAGGACACAGGCCTTGACATGTGGGGTCTATTCGGATTCCTGCTCTATTAACACATTCAGTTTGTGGAGGAGAGACTAGAATGACAATGGGACGTCCACGGGTCAGCAAGTATTGTTTCAGAAAAGATACTTTTCAATCTTTTCAGAAAAGACTGCCATTTATCCCTAAAAAGCAGACTGAAGTAAAATGTGGAAAGGCCTGGTTTGGGCTGGGTAAGGTGAGCTCTGTCCTACGCTAATGCTTGGGGAAGATGGGCTGTGTCCCTGAGGGGCTATCCCTCTAGCCGGCCTTTGCCCACCCACTCAGCACAGAGGGCTGAAGCACCCACTTGGGTCTCAGGCTCTAGGCTAGAAATTGGGGGATGAGGCCCAGGGAAGAAACTCAGGCCCTTCGGGTGCTCAGTGTGTCTGGGAGGTGGCTGATGTGCCAGCAGTGCCAGGAGCCACGTGAGAAGTGCTCTGCTAGACCCAGAGCAAGCTCGTGCAGGAGCTCATGGGAGCAGACACTCACTTTGCCTGGGGAGGAAAGTGAAGGCTCTTAGCAAACGGGATATGTGATTTGAATCCTAAAGGCCACGCTGGACTTGCCGGCAGAAAAGGGGGAGATGGCGTCTGAAACCAAGAGAATATCGTGTGTAAGGCGCAGTGGTGAGAAAAAGCACACTTCCTCCTAGCGAGGAGGCCAACGCGTGTGTGGGGAAGGGCGCACAAAGACGCAGTTGGCACCTGGGTGTCCAATATCCTGGCTACGAAGGGACTGAAATTGTGTCTAAAAGTCAAGGTGGGCATAGAAGATTTGGGGAGCAAGGGCCATGAGAGCAAATCTGAATTCCAGAGAGAAGTCTTTTTTGGCTACTGTGTGGTGGGCAGATTATAGAAGAGAGGGACTGGGGTGGGCGGAGGGGGGGTGGGGAGACAGCTGAGAGGCTACTGGGAACATCTGAGTGAAACTGATGATGGTCTAAACCCCAGAGGCAACTGGCTGGTTGTGGGGAGGTGGGGGAGAGAGAACCATCACGGGAGCATGGCCAGATCGGGGAAACATGAGAAAGTGGTTTTGGGGGAGACTGCTTAGTGCAGGTCTGGACACTCTACACCCGATGTTACTGGGGCTGGAGAGAAGTTGGGGGTGTGCGTCTCAGGCTGTAGCTATGGCTCTGGGGCCATGGGCGTGGGTGACACTGTCCAGGAGGAAACGTGAAGTGAAAAGAGCCAAGGAATAGCAAGAGAATCATAGAATATCAAGAAAGAGGAATGGAAGAGGGATGGAGAGGAACAGCAGGTCCCACAGCAGTCTTGGGGGAGAGCTTCCAGAGCAAGGCCATGGTCAGCACATGCATCGCTCGCTGCTACGATGAAAATGCCCAAGGATCCTTTTGGCTATGACAGTACGATACTCTTCTGGGAATTGATCAAAAGCAGCTTCTGTGAGGTGGTGGGGCCCAAACACTAAATTATACAGAGTGGGGGAGTTACAGCGAGAGCAGCAGGAGAGAGGAGAAATGGACACGACTATCTCAAGAAGATTCACTGTCAAGGGCGGGAGGGGAATATGAAAAGCTCAGCGGAGTCAGGGGCAGAGAATGAGAAGGCAGAGTCTGTCTTTTCCAGTCTTTTCTTTTCCATACAGCTTTTCCAACGAGCTGTGAGACTCAGATGAGAGTCATAGGCGGAGGCAAGGAGAGAGGAGGCAAGTGTACCCACACTACCTATGGGACACAAAAATGAACCAAAAGGACTCCTGCCCTCAGCGAGCTTTCGATCCATCATGGCGGCTCATGTGCACAAAGAAAGAAGAACAAACTGGCCAACATTAGGAAAGGCCCCCAGTCAGAGCACAACGGGCATTCAGACAGACCTCCGACAAGCAGGGAGGTCTGGGGCAGGAGCTCTGGGAGCTTCTGCAAGAACAGAAATCATTCTGCCCTCAAGTTGGAAAGGGCCCGGGGAGCATCCAGCCCAGTGCTCTCCATTTCTACGTCTGAAGGGAGGCCTGACTTCACTAAGGACACACACAGCTGACTAACGTCAGAGCTGGGAATCAAAACTCTAAGCTCTCACCGTTTAACCCAGGGCCACTGACCCGCAGATCACGGTGCTTCTCTGCTAACTGCCCGACACGGGACTTGGACACACGAGCCTACGATGGAGGGTGCAGGCCCCACCCACTGAAGATGCTGCTATCCCCCATCGGGCAGAGGTCGCCTCCCCTCCTCTGACCTCCCCGAACCCGTTATCCATGCAGCTCTGTGACAAGTATTACTCTAAGACTTGACTCTCAGTTTTCCTGCAGCTGCCAGGAGACCCAGCTCTGTTTCTGACCCGAGACTGTCCCAAAGGCTCTGGATAGAAGATCAGTAGTAAGAACCCGGCCATCGCTCCTGCAGACTTGAACTTCACTGTGGTCTTCCCCCGGCCCTGAGAGAGGGAAAGTCAGCTGCACAAATCTGGGCTGTCAGAGCATGGCGAATTCTGAATGGGCAGTCGCCCCTCTTCAGGTATGTTCTGAAGACTACGGAGATCGTGTGTGTAAAGTACCATGACCTTCTTGGAGAAAAGTAGTCAATCAGTGCTGTATTAAGAATGGCTCCTTGTCAATAACAGTTCATTTGAGTCATGGTTTTACGGGATGTAAACATCAAGGAAGGCTGAAAAAAATCACCACCACCACCGCCAACAACAAGCAAAAAACCTAGTTTGGAGGAATTGTTCTTGTAAGGGTCTTTCATCTCCTTAAATCTCACGAGTCCAAAGAAGTTTGGGAGATTTGTTGAGTGGAGCGAGAACGTGACTGGAAAGGAGCCCACATTCTAGCGTAAAGTTTCAAGGTGTAATAAAGAGATTCCCTTCCTACCACAGGAAATGGTTTCAAAGATGTGATGCACGTGGACTAGCACTATGTGTTTGTTCACTGATTTCTTTGTTTACCAGACGCCCTGTTAGATGCTGTGAACACATGGATGGAAGAGTCTGGACCCACTGGAGCTTATAATATGGTGGGGGCGACAGACACATCAGTGGCACACTCACACTGAGACCTGTGGTGTGGGGACTCAGAGATGCTGGACGCACACCAGGGACGGCAAGCCAGAGAAGGTGTGTGAGCCCAAGCGGTGTTCGAGTTCAATCCTGAAGGAATCCTAATGCTCCAGGACCTGAGGGAAGGATGTCTCAGAGCAGAGAACACACACCCAAGACACAGAATAAGAGAAAAACAGCCATGCTGCTACAAGAGAAGGGGGTGACGGCCTTCTAACCGAGAGAAGGAGGAACAGAAGTCACTAAAGGAAGTCACTCACCAAAGACGAAATACCTAAAGCACGACAAGGCTAAGAACGAGGGATGTGTTCGGGGAGTGGAGAATTTCAAGATGGAAACTCAAGCTTGAATGAAAACTCAGAACCAGACTAACGGCCAGCAGCACACCTCCACCACATCGAGAGCTAAAGATGAGAGACCAGGATGCCCCAACTGCTGCTTCTCTAGACTGTGTCTGATGGGGGAAAGTGGCTGCTCCTGCCGCCTGAGGGGATGGGGGGTGTGTGTGGGGGGGAGCCTCTGCTCTGCACCTGGAGGTCCCAGATGACAACTGCGGATCAGAGGAAGGGCCCGGGAATTCGGCCGTCAGGCTTCCAATCCCCTCATGCCTCACCCATCCTAAGGCAACGTCAGAGTCGGGCTCGAGGGTGGTTCCCTAGAGGAGGACAATCTTTAG